TGGAAAGGACCTTAAGATCATCCCGTTCCAACCCCTGCCACAGGCAGGCACACCTTCCACTAGAGCAGGTTGCTCCAAGCCCCGTCCAACCTGGCCTTGAACACTGCCAGGGACGGGGCAGCCACAGCTTCTCTGGGCACCCTGTGCCAGCACCTCAGCACCCTCACAGGGGAAGAACTTCTGCCTAAGAGCTCATCTAAATCTACCCTCTTGTCAACTTAAAGCCATTCCCCTTGTCCTGTCACTATATGCCCTTGTAAAAAGTCCCTCTCTAGATTTCTTGTAGCCCCCCTTCAGGTCTTCCTAGAGCCTTCTCTTCTCCAGGCTAAGCAAGCCCAGCTCTACTCAGCCTGTATTCACAGAAGAGGTGCTCCAGCCCTCAGACCATCTTCATGGCCTCCTCTGAAGGAGGGAGAAGAGCCCAGACCCATGCTAGAACCAGGACAGAAAACTGCCAGCTGAGAAGGCTGAAGATGCATGTCAATAAGCCATTCACTGAGAAATGGAAGACACATTATTAACAATAATACAGTGAACAAATTTAGCAATTCCCTACAGGCTAATTTCTGCCGCACAGCTTCAGCATTCCCTCCTACCCTGGCAATCTTGCTTGAGGCAAGTACGCTACATTAACAGATACTCAACTTGGCACTTTAAATTCATTCAAGTACTGTTGTCAGCACTGTCACCTTTCACATGGACATCCTTCCCCTACCCTCATCCTCCACAGAAAGTCAGCATCCTAGCTGGAAGTACCCAGTGGTAAGCAAGGTGATAGTTGCACACTTCATACACATGTGCATTTAGCAGCTGCTGTACTAAGGAAGCATACACACAGAAAGTGTGTCAGAGAAGTACCAGTCATGTGTCAGGATCTGCCTTCTGTAACATCACTACATTAAATCTTCCAAGATGTAGAAAACAACATGCTTTACAAGTCTGCATGAAAATCTCATTAAAGGTGATTCAGCAGGACGGACAAATGGCAACTTCAGTTCGGTCTCCTCCTCTCCCTACACATATCCTTATTTAATTACTTTATTTTGATCCAGGCTATCCGTGGCTCTTGGGACCTACTGACACAGAAAGCCAGCATACTTTGAGAGGCTAGAGTTACACTAAGCAGAGAACAGAGTGCAGACCAGCATGTGTGGCCAGAACATCTTCACTCAACACCTATGCTCCCAATGCAAAGGACATCCTTCCATTTATTCCCCTAGGCCAGAAGTAATGGTATTTCAAACACAGCTGGCTCAGTATGTGAACAGCTCTAGCCAAACATGCTATCCCACACAGGTTACCATCTGCACTACTGATAGTAACTCATACAGGAAACAGTACTCTGCGAGTATTTCCTCATTTTATAAAGTTATCTTTCCTCATATGGTGAAGACTGCTCCACTCAGTAATGTAAAGCAGTATCTTTTATACAACCACTTAAAATAGGCACATTTCCTGCACTTCATTAAACCTGAGGACCCAAAGTTTTTGGCTTACAGAATTTTGTACTCAGTAATTTAAGAAGTGAGGCAGAACCCAGTCAAGAACATTAAGATCTTCTTTGTGTACTTTTGGGCAGAACTTAATTTCTTTCATAACATCTAGTTTCATTTTTTGTTGCTATTTTAATTAAGCTTTGCCATGTTTTTCATCAAGTTACAATCAACTATTTTTCAGGAAACAGAAACAAAACTAATATTACATAGACTTCTACAATAAATAATGTATAGGATAATGTAAATGCACCTCCAAAACTCAGAAATGTTTACTCAACAGTCCTGCTCCAGGATGTAATTGCATTAATTTCATCGGACAGCAAACAACTTCTGCTTAGACATTCGGTTTGTATTCTTCTTCATGTTCCTCTGTGGTCCTGTCACATGAGTCAATGGGAATACCACCTGATGAAAAAAACTCTACTCGCAACTGTGGATTTTGCATCCCTTCTGTTGATTTTCCTCTGCTATTACAAGATTAGTTGTTTAGACCACTCTGAACACACCTCCTGGAGTGTTTATCATGTGATAACAACATACTAAATCAGAAAGTCTCAATCATATTCCCTTACTGCAAGTAACCACAAGCAATATTGTAGAGTCTGCGTTCACCTAACAGGCAAGTCAGCAAGCTTTGAGAGAGCAAAGGCTAGGACTAGATAGGTTTGTACTGAAGAACGAGACACACACACAAAACCACCACACAAAGAAAACCACACCACACAAGAAACAGTGTCAAAACTTCCTGGTTAAAATTAGCATTCATACTACATCACCACCTTCATGATGCACAACTATTTAAAAGGAGGAGTCAAGGTTAGCCTAATGGCAACAGATATATGTCTCACTGGCAAACAGCAAAATAAGGCTCCTATTCTGACCCCCACACTGCTTCCAGCTCCTTCCCTCTTTGGTACCTGAGTCAGTACTCTGGAAACCAGGCTGTCCAGCTCTGGCAGACATGCCTAACACAAGATGCAGACTCACTTTGCCATACACAAAGAGAAAGACCTTGCCATGTTAGATATCAGCATTGCCTTTATTTGAGAAAAGATCTCACAGTAAATGTGTTGAATTATATAATGTTCAGTTCATATTTTGATGTGAACATTTCTTGCAGCAGTAAGAGTAAGAATAGTCCAACAGCAAAGCATCCCATGCTGTGTTAAAGGAATGCTTCTACAGTAAGCTCAACATTGGAACTACATCCACTTCTACTGAGCCACAGATTTCAAGCCTAAAAAACCCTGAATTCCCCTTACCTCCACCTTATTATTGTAACCATCTTCAAAGTCACTTCAGTTACAACTTAGAGATAGGGTAACACCACTGCCTGCCTATCTGAACAGTCTCCACCTTCCCGATTAGCTATTTCCCTTCTAAAGTTAACCTCTACCAGGAACACAATAAAATATCCACCTTGATAAATGCCATCAATTCTGGTCACTGATTAGTGCAGTCTGCTAATAACTGGGAGCTTTGTGTGCTCCCACGTAGGCAGGAGAAGATCTGTTGCTACTGGACTGCGGATTGGAACTTCAGCTCCTCTCCTCTGCTACGTGAATGAGCCAGGATAACATAAAATAGCTTAAGCACAAGGATCACACTCAACTACAAGATCCAAAGCTCTTGTGGAAATGGAAATAAAACACAACAGGCATTTATAAAGTTATTATACAGTGTCTGCTCTGTAGCTGATTAACTTGCTCACTCACCCAAAGACAAATAGTTGAACTATTATGTTGAGAAAAACAATAACATGAAACGCAACTGTTACTTAACTGACCTTCCTTGTAGCTCAAAATAACTATTCACTTTAAATTTCTAAATAACTACCCCAGTTTTTCCTCTGGCACTAAATTCGGGATCTCTTATCACAGTGAATAAAGAAAAACTTTGAACGTGACCCTCATGACCCTTTTTCAAGGCCCAGAGAATCCATTCAAAACCCCAAGTTCTTCCTTCTAACAACCAGGAAGCTCTCCAAGCCCTTACTCTTCTTACCAAACACTCTCAGGTCTCATTAGGGTTCTTCAGTTCCCATTCCTCTGTTCCACCAAGGGTACATTCATATTAGCACACTGCAGAAGTACTCTGTTCTCTCCCCTTTCTCTTTAACAACAGTTTCCTTTAAAGCCTTGATAATGTTTATTCTTACATAGTTTGATCTCTTTTCTTGCACTTTTAGAGGATTTAATTCATTCTTACAACAGTTGCTGCTCCCTCTGCCCCTCAGAATAAAACATTCCTAGAACAGATTATTCAAATAAAATAAATTTCCAGATCACAGCAATTCACAGAACTAACAGTTCCATGATACTCTTGCCAAAAGCTGAAATAATTTCACAAGAATGTACAACAAAATACAAGTGAGACCAGAGAATGCTCATTTCAAAGGCTCATCCTGGTTCTGACATCAAATTGTTCCAGTATGTTCTTCATTATTACAGAGTACATCATGTAGTACAACAATATTGCTACCCAAATCAAATCAAACAGCTGAACTATCTTCACTGCCTGGACATGTTCATTGGCAGACCTGTTGACAAGGCAGGACTGTTGACAAGGCAGGACTGTTGACAAGGCAGGACTGTTGGCTGGTATTTTCATAAATGATGTAAAGAGAAAAGACAAATACTGTTTTTCAAGACTTGAGGTTTATCTCTGAACACCTATTAATGAAGAAGATGTAACCTTTCAAAAGGAAGCTATGAAATCTTAGTGTAGCCAAAAGTATTAGTTGGCAGTTAGTCATCACTCAACAGATTTCACTCTTAATGCCAGGACGGTCAGAGGTTTCACTCTTACAGGATCTTTCATCTGGCAAAGCAAGCTTCTCTACAAGCAGCAAGCCATTTGACAAAACCAAGGAGCTAAGAGCAGTCTGTGATATCACGCCATTGGGAAATCCAACCCATTAGCATACAGTAAGCTATTCAAGATTTGTACATTGGCTTTTTAGTATTATGTCAGTTTCTTCATATAATGCTGTTCAGGGCAGGAAAACCTGTAAAATTTTCAGTCTGCTTTTACTGTCCAACCTGACAGTATGTATCAGTGTAGGCTTTTCCCTCTCCTTTACGGCAAATGTACGATTCCCAAACGAGAACCCATTTTTCCACAAACACATAAAACCTTCCTGACCAAACCGCAGTCTGTACATATGCTGCTCTCCCAAGCAAGAGCATACACAGGAGTAAGGGAAAAAATAGTTGCCTCTTGCTAACGTTTTTCCAGCAACAATTTATAATCCCTTAATTTTGCTGTTCGAATAACCCTGCTACATCCAGCCATGAAGAGCCCAGTGCCTGTCTGCTTGTTTTATTAGTTAATTTTCATTACACGTAAGGCTTTAAGGTAATAAAACTGTTTATAGGATGCAACCCTCAGCAGCAGAGAAACCACAAGGAATTCACAGATGTGATTACCTTCTTCCAAGTTAAAAGCATTACTTAAGAAACATCAGCATATAAAATGGGTTGAATTGCTGAGGAACGAACATACCTCGGTTTGTCCACCAGCCAACTCTCCAGACGAGCTGTTGTCAGCCTGGTTTAAACAAAGGGTTGCTTTAATTAGTGAAATATTACTAACTGACAGGGCAAATTCCAAAAATACTTCACTACAATTAGAAACCTTCTCCCACCCCCAAAACAATTCTTAAATAGCATTTAACCCCTCCATGGCCACATGGGTGTGCTCTAAGTATATCTTGTTCTCTTCTGTATATCAAACAGTTAAATAAGCAATGAAAATGGTTGCAAAGCATCTGAAAAAGCTTTCCAATGTTATTAGCAGAGGATCAAGGCAAGATTTCATTTCTGTTTCAGATCCCATTGGGACTGAACCTGTTCCAGTCTAGCTCTGCATTGAGTTTAACAGGGGGAGGGGAGGCACAGAACACATAAAGGAGAGCAAAGTGCCCAACAACTGTTCAAACCAGTTTTCAGTTCAGGTGAAGTTCAATCCACAGCTTATTACTATGGTGACTGTAGCTGTCACCTTCCCCTAGCTGTGATTCACTTTCCCATCTTTTCACTTTCTAGACACTCAGCTATTCTTTCACCACCTTGAGCGACCCAACAGGCCATGGTTCACCACACACCCATGACACTCCAGCCTGTCCCCAGACGGTCCCCACACAGCCACCAGCATGCTGTGTTTACACACAATAGCAACTTGAACTGTGGAAATCCCAATCAAAATCTACTGCTGACAGAACAGGGAGGAAGACATCAACACCAGTGCAGATCATTTTAAGCAAAGAAATACCATTTGCGAGCAAATAAATGGTGGAGCTTAATATTTTCATTTTCCGTAGAAAAAGTGATGAAATCCTTTCAAGCTAAAGCAAACCAAACCCTGGCATTTAGGAACCTGAACCATTGGACTCTATGCACTCAAGCATGACAAATGAATCTTTTCTGTGCAAAACACACACATACACACAAGATATTAACTGTACAATACCTGTACAACAACACACAGATGCCCCTTTCTGTTGTAGCCGCTTGCATGTGCTGCATGTACAGACAGATGCCTCCAGACCAAATGAAACCTTTTGTCACAATAACATTTTGCAGAAAATTTAAGATCTTTCTATTATTCAGCCTCTTTGGAGGAGGGCTGTGTTTAACTGTCTCTCTGTGACTGCATGTGGTCACAGGAGCAGCCTTCACAAAAAGAACTGCTTCTAGACTTCTTGGTTTACGTGAGGTATTCCCCAAAATATAAGGCTCCCTCATCTGAGATCAAGATTTCATCTGTGCAAATTGGTGTTCCAGTGACCCCGGTCCCAGGCAGGAAGGTGATCCTGAAAGGCCATCTAAATGAACATTTCTAGCAGAACCAGACTACCAGGATTTTAGGCTTACACCTTTAAATTTACACCTTTTCATTTAGTTCACGCCATTATCTACAGCAGCTCTGATTTCCAAGCATTACAGCCAACATGAGTTTGTATAGCTTATAATCTACAGCAGTGCTTGCTTCCATCATGACCTGTGCTATGACTTCCTCTTCACTGTTGCCTGATCTATCTAAATCAAGAAGCAAATATTCCCACATAAACAGCAAAACGCAATCATCCCCTAGAGTTTCTTTTAAGAAGGCCTTTGTGAGGTGGATGAGAAGCGTCCTTGTACACTTTCTTTAGGACCCCAAAGCAGCCAGAGTGAGCCACCGACTACAAAAGCACAAAGATAAGGGAATAACAGAATCACAAAATGGTTTGGGTTGGAAAAGAACTTCAGATCATCTAATTCCAACCCTCTGCCATGTGCAGGGAAAATCATAGAGTCATAGTGAAGTGCTGCATCTAATAAAAACTGAGAACAGGCTGCAATTATTGATCCAGACCCCTCGGTCAATCACATTTATGAACAAAATTCTGTGAAACCTTAAAATAATGACAGAGAACTGCAACACTCCAAGCCAAAGCAAGCCCCTAAAATCTTTAAATGTAGACATACAGGCAACACAGGAAAAAAAAGCCACTAAATAAATACAGTAAGCCTATGCCAGGACTCAGTGGCTGTTACATGCTGCTATTTTCTATCTTCAACAAGGAATAAAATCTTCACCTGTGGTCATAGAAACGAAAAAGTTCCAAATGACACATGCACACACACAAACCTTTCCAAAGCATCTTCTGGGGTGGGGGAAGAGGCAGGAGATCAAATCTCTCTGCAACCTGACCAGTGCTATCTTACCTGAAGGACAAGCACCAAGGCAGAATCCTGATAAAATCCAGCATGAAGAAAATCCTGCTGCTTTTGGAAAGCTGACTTAAAATTCGAGAGGAGGCAGGGCAATGCGGTTCAACAGAACACAAGTTTAACAATCCTGAAGAAGTTTGGTTGAGAAACAGAGCGCATTTGATATCACCAAACCCTTGTCTACTTTCAAGTCACTTAAATATATATTAATCATTCCTATTTGTATTTTAAGATGCCTGAAGTTGAAATAAAGAAGAAAATCTGACGAGGAGAGGGTTTAATTCTTACAGGTTACCGATGAAGAAAACTTTATTCCTAAACTCACTGAAGTTTCTCCACAGTATCCATGTCCTACAGGCATCCACCCCGTTGTATCTTGAGGCACAAGGAGGGTTGAGAGCACTACTGAGCAATTTTACTTCCCCATCCTGAAGAGTACACGGTGTTCCGGATGCAAACACAGACCAGTGGCAATTTCTTCAGGAATCATAGCTCAAAGAAGAGATGTGCAGCCCTGCTTCCCATCACTGTTTTTCTTGCATTCCCTCTATCTAGTCTGGAACTCCAGCTCAGCAGACAGAGAAATGTCTTCCTGCAGGCAAGAATGAACAATCTCTCCCCAATTACAGAGCCATGTGTGGGCTATGAGCAATTTTCCAAACATAAAAGGAAGAAGGGAATTTGCTATCCATATATTAACAAGCTAAAACAAGCCAACCTGCAGATGGAAAGGATCAAAGTGTCTGTCTGAGTCACCTCAAAATTAATCCCCTCCAGGAATGCTCACCACCTCCCCCCACCACACACACACTCTGTGTCCCCCCAGTCCCTCCCAGAGCAAAAAGTCAAGCTCAAAGAATGCATCTTGCTCCTTCAGATTAATATGATACTCCTCAGAATACACACACCCTCCTTTTCTCTTTGGAACACTATGTTCTCCTCCCTTCCCCCTCAGACACGCACATTCAGACAGCTGAGAGACGATTTTATCCCCCTTGTCTATCAGACATTACACTATGGTTCATCAAAACCATTTTGCACGCTCAGGAGGGAAACAGCACCTGCATTGCACAGAGATATGAGTGTCCTTTCCAAATGCTAACCCAGCAAAAGTAATACTTATCATCTGTAACACACGTTCTTTGAAGCAAATTCACTTTACAGAGGAAAAAGTGAATGTGAGAAGCTAAAGTTATTAGAAAAAGCCAATAGATGCATTATGTCAAGTAGTTCTTCAAGTATTTTCAGGATACTATTCACATTTGAGCTGGAACTGCTCAACTGTATTTTACACAATACCTTAGTTAGGTGACAACAGGGCATCTGTGACGTCAAGCTCTTCAGAGCTTCTCTTAGGTAGTCTGAAAACTACCACAATTTGGAGAGATTCCTGTTCTGCTAAACTATGGACAGAAAAAAGCTATATTCTTCCCCAAAAAAAGTCTAAAGCAGCTCAATGCTAGCACAAATGTCCCAGCTTCATTCCTGCAGAAGCATCAAAATTCCCATTTTTCACAAGTGTTAGTAGCTGATGGGGTTAGTAAAAGCTGCAGGAGTAACATGAATCCAGCCAGTTCTCACCACATCAGAAGACAGGTCAGATTAAGGAGGCAATGCTACTCGGAGTTTACAAGCAAATCTATCCTGTTATCACCCACATGACATCCATCAGCTCCACTATACTGAAAAGTGTGTAACTTGAGGAACTGCCACATACAGAACGATGTGGCTGCAACAGCGTTTGCTCCAACAACTCGTGAAGCAACACAAGTTGTGCCAGGCAATGTTAACAGTAAGGAAGTGACAGACTGAGAACAGGGGCTTTACTTTCAGATTCCACCTGCTAAATCCATCCATGGGCTTTGAAGTTCTCTCATTTCATTACCACTCACAAGTTTACCACTGCCTCCTTTGTAGTGAGGATATACACAAAATCAGATAAAAGGGCGCTAAGACACAAACCATTTCAGCTACATTTGGATCTTGGAACCATCAAAAGCTCCCTGCCTTACCACAGGCCTCTGGTGAACATTAGCAAATGGATTCATTTTTCCATGAAGCTGTGCACCATCTCTAAAATGAAGATACTAGGGGTTTGTAAGATCAGGGTGACATGCAGGTGAGTAGCCATCCAGATACCACAGTAATATATAAGGTAACAGAGGGGAAGGAAGTCTAATATATTTGTGCATAAACATACTCAGTATGTCAGTGGTAATCCAGTTTCACTACAGTTATAAAAGCTAGGAATAAAATGTACTTAGAGGACTGGTTTCTAAAGCTTTATCACATTTTTTAGCAGCACTGCTGTGTATACAAACACCAGAATTAACTGAAGTAAAGGTTTTCTTCAGTGAGCCAGTACATTCCTCTTCCCCCTTTAGTAAGTCATTTGGTTAGGAAGTAAATGTGTATACAACTATTAATGATTAATCAATGATCTTGTTGCTACAAATAGGTACCTAATACAGCACACCCTTAAAACAAACTATTCATTAACAGATATTGAAAAGAAAGACAAAAAGCATCTTCAAGTACTTTACCACCTGGTACAGACCTTGTAGCCAAATAGTGTTGTTATTCTGCAGAGCACCCTGCTGAAGTCTGTATGTGTAAAGTTCATCTGTCATTGCTCCCTCCATCCCGAATTTATTCATTACAAATACCTCACCCTAAAAATTACATCTTAATGCCTAACAAGAAACAAATAACTAAAAGAGCCAAGGCATAATCAAGAAACACTCTTTTTACTCCTGAAGTAAAGAACTGTGTTAAACTACACATAACTCAGGATAACTCCTAATCTCTAACAGCACAAAGGCATAACAGCAC